AAATTTTAAAATAGGGGGCAAGTCTCAAATGAATGCACGTGTAAAGTAAGAGAGCATGACTGTGAGAGCGTGTGTGTGCACATGCATACGCATCTATCCCCGGGCACGGGGTTGGCAGCTGGGGGTTGCTGGTTCCCTCTGCTGTAACCCACCTGCCGAGGGACGCTGGTACAGCGAGCGCTGGAGCTGCGTGAGTTCATGACTTACGTGTTTGTCATCGGAAGAATAGAACAAAACACAACAATGCAGCTCTGTAGTCCTAAAAATTAATTGGATTTCTGTGAAAATAGAGGAAAATTGCTCATTGTCGAGACAGTGTCAGGAGGAAGAGTGGCAGAGTTATTGACTGGCCTCAATTTGTGGAGGCAGGAATGAGAAGTAGCAATACTTACATCAGCTTCATAAGAAGACTAGCTCTGTGGAGGGACTAATATTATTTTTTTTACTTTGTTTAATTTCCTTTGGTGGTCTGATCCTCCCCCCCCCCCATAGGAAGAAGAGAGGAAATAAGGCATATTTAGACTGGGGAGGGGAAAAACAGCCAGGAAAAATTCTATGTGGGTAAGCCGCTCCCTCCCACCCCATTCTCATCTGTTTTATTTTAAACAACTTTCTGTTCAGTCATCGCCACTTGTCATAATCGTGACTGCTGATCTTCATCCTTGTCATCATGTGCTGCTGAGCTGCTGAGAAGTGACTTACACCTGCCCCTAGCAGAGCCACGCCACAGCCGGTGTGGCTCCCTGGAGAGGCTGGGAAGAACTAGTGAAGGCAAGGGCGAGGATCAGAAGGTGGGGCAGAAGTTACGGCTGTAGCTTCTGGGCTGTCTCTAGACACTGGAACTAACTGGCCAGCTGTATATGGCATGGTGGGGGGGTGAGTGTAATGTAAAAAGACCCTTTAAAGCCTGGTGCCTTTCCTTCTTACCCTGATGAGTGAACAGCAAAACTGGTCCACTTTTGGGGTAGTTGGGCAGACTCACAAAGGTCAGAGTAGCAGCTACAGCTGGTTGGCAGCTGCTGCAGCTCACACTTAGTTCTGAGCTGATCAGTTCAGATTCCTGGGAAATGAGGGTTTTATGCTGTTGCTTTCCTCCTTATGTCTGTGTTTGTAAGCAGCCATACAATGGACTTCAGTCTCCTCGTCGCTGGGAGTATTTTTCCGAAGTGGAAGGGACCAAGACGCGAATGCCCGAATGGCTTAGTGTGACCCACTTCTGCTGCTCCCAGCTGGGTTCAGTGGCAGCTGCCAAGTGTGGGTGCAGCTCTGCAGGGGTGGTGACAGGCAGGAGATGCCCCCCTCTGCTTCCTCCTAGGCTAAGGTAAGCCAAAGCTTGTCCGCACCGGAGTGCACAGCCACGCCTTGGGTTATAACCCAGGCCCCCCAAGAACCAGCCAGCAGTGGGAGCTGAGTAATTTTAATAGTTAATTATAATGCTGTTGTGGCCTGAGCAGAACAAAACAGAAATAATCAGGCTTAAAACGAACCAAAAAAACCCCAAAAGCAACATAGTGTTATTTTAGACTAACAGCACGTGTAGCTGAACTAATACTCCTGACGAGCAAGGACACGGCTTTCTCTCCGGGCATCCTGCAGTCCTGTAGGGAAGAAGTGACCTTATTTGCATTTTTCTTGTTGAATTGCTGTCGGGATTTCTGCAGCATGGCAAGAGAAAATTCCTCCAGGAGAACATGGAAATATCACAGCGCTAACGCAATATCCTTCAACTCGGTTCCTTTTCCTCTGCCATCCGCTGCCCCGTGCGCTGCCATCTGCGCAGCCACCCAGCACTAAACGAGGTGTCCGCTTCTCTCCAAGCCAACCCTCTTCCTTTTTCTGACAATAAATTGTGAAAGCAGCAGGCCATGAGTTCAATGCATAATGCCCAAGAACTAAACGTTAAAGATGGTTTATTTTTTCCTCTGTATTTCAAAAGCATCAAAGTTGCTCCTCCCCCCATTTCCAGAACAATCTGTGCTCTTTCCTACACGCTCCTGCCCTTCCTCCCTAGCGGAAGAAGGATCTGCCCTCGCCTTGTGCTTTCGCATTTGAGTGCTCCTTTCCAAGGTCAGCATTTTGAATTTGAAGTCTATGATTTTAGACACTTCTATCAGGAGCGTTTTCAATTCTCATCATGTTCTCTAAATTGCTTAGCCTCTTTCCCAGCGTGACATCCTGCTCCAATTTTACAGCTAGGTAATTAAATTCAGAGCACAGGAGCATTCAGCTCCTCGGCAGCATTGCATAGAGGCAGATGTACGGCAGACTGCTGTGCAGCCCGCTGGACATCATCTCGCACTCCCACGGCGGCCAATACAGAGACCAGTGATGGTTTGTTGACACGTCTCATCTGGCCATTTAGTATAAGGCCACTCTTTCACCAGCACATTGCCTTCAGCCTGGAAATCAGTGACTCCAGGTGCTGCAGTTCACACCCCAGAGTATCAGCGCAAACGCACCTGAACAATGTTTGGTTTAAAATCCAGGCTTTTTTCCCCTGTGGCTCAGAGGTCCTGGCCCACCACCTGCCTCCAGGAGCACCAGAGCAGCAGGAAGCCAGGTAGGGCTCCAAACTGGCACCGTTTCAGCTTCCCCTGTAATGGCTGCACACACCACCTAAATTACAGAAGTAGCATTGTGGATTAATTGTACACATGGCAAGTGTGATACAGCATTTTGATATTTAAAGAATATATTTATATATATATACATGTAACATTTAGAAATTGCTTCATAGAAGATAACATATTGGGTTTGTCCAGTGAAAGACTGCAGAATTCTGAATTTAATGTATAATATAACCTTTATTCTTTTTCCTCTAAACTCTTGGAAACTTACATAACAATCGTGCTTTAATTATGACACCATTTATAGACATTTAAAATGCATCTTAATTTATAAATATTTTACATTTGGTCCATAGAACAGGTTGCAATTTACTAAATAATACAGTACTGTTTTAAACAGGCTCTGTATATATTTTTGAATATGTATATATTACATATATATTTTTATATAGAGATAGATTTGCTTGGTGTTCAGATATTTCCTTATTGCAAAAAGCATATATGATCATACAATAATCTTTTCTTCAGGGCAAGTACTACAAAAAAGATACAGCTATTCACAGTTTACACACAGTAGTTCTACAACACTATTTTGTGCTATGTGATACGTTTGTACAGCTTTTTGCTAAAGAGCAGGTCTGTCAAACATCTGGCATAATTGTTTACAATCAAACATTAAATACTGCATTTTTCTTATAACAACATGGGACTTGATTACATTAAACAATAAAGTTGGGATTTTTATCCTTAGTCTAATGAAATTCACAATTATAATGGGTATGTATCATGTATAATGTTTGCGTGGGATGTACGGTTTTCCTCTAAATCCCAAAGACGTACAGGATGTTTGCATTTCAGCTATAGCCGTTTAGGATGTAGCTTAGATCTCGGAATATTTTACAGTTGATCTATGTATGAAACAGCTGAAAATCTACTAAACATACTCTGAGATTTTATGATGTAGTTTGAAATACATGTGTATTTTATATATATTATTTCTACAATAATGTGCTTGACATTCTGAGAATAATACCTTATTGCAAGAACATGTTTGTCACCTTCAGACAAAAACAACGAAAAACCCAACGTTCACAGTTAACATGTTTTTCACGTAGTAGTTCTACATAAATTGTGCTATCTAACATTGTACGTTGCACAAAAATTTGCTGAAAAGCATGTTTCATTGCACAGTTCTGTCACAGTCATTTACAATCAAACACCAACTACTGCACTTTCCGTAATCCTTTGTTTCTGTCGTATAGCTGCCAAACGAGAAATACCATACAGGGCCAGCCGCTGCGTTTGCTGCACAGGGAGGAACGTCCACGAGCCGGGTGGGCTTTCTGCTGTGTGGCAAATGCAGCCGGAGCCCAGAGTGGAGAGCTGTATAGGTTATACTGACATAGCTTTCCTTCGTGCCTTCATCACCACAAATAACACATAAATAAAAATAAAACTGTTTTCAAAGTGCTAATGATCCATATTTTATAATTTGCTTATTAGAAACTGGTGAAGTCCTTTCATGGATTAAAAAGAAGAGTTGTGAATTAAACCCTAAATTAGAATTACAAGGATAAGCTTCAATCTTTAAGCCATTATTTTGGTTTCTATTTTGGTGGCAATGCAATAACAGCAGAATAATAACAGCATAAAAAAGCTCAAGTACTCTGAGCTTGAATTGCAAATACTCTGTATTTCTTTTACTCCTGGGAATCTTTAAGACCTCTTGGATATTACTTCTCATTTTGCTAAAAAAGTTAGAGGTCATATTTTTACCGCTAACGTCTGCGATTCATGTAGCATCGATTCACAAGTGTATGTTCTTTTTATAAGAAATAGTATATATATTTTTAAAGAAATTTACACTCCTGTCTGAACCTTATCCTGAAAGGCAAAGTACAGCCAGCGCTCACAGCCACTCTGTGCTGTATTGCCACCGACAGCCGTGTAATTTAATTTGTACTAGGAACGTTTGTAAAGGCTGTGGCTACTGTCCATTGAAGGGAGTCTTCTCCCTCGCAAATGGCCTCGACTGGAGCAAATTTTAAGGGTAGACTTTTCAAGGGAAATCACTTGGTTACAAAATACTTCATTCTTTTGTACAAAACAATTCCAAACTTAATTTTACTCCTGCAAAGTCAGAAATAACAGTCTTGGGATTCAGCGGTAAGAAATATTGATAAACTACTAAAAATCAGCAGCACAAAACTTCAAATAGTCGTGCTAAAAGGTAGATTAAAAAGGTCTTGGCACATCAATTTACAAATTCCAAGATATGCAACTATTGTTGTGAAAGGATAAAAACATTAACAGTCAGTGGATTGCCAGAGAACACAAAACACCGTCAACATCTGCGCTCGCGCAACAGCTGGATCATACCCATGGCGATTCCCTTGTAGTGGAGATGACCTTTTGTCTTTTTTTCTTTTTTTCTTTTTTTTTGCCACTAGAGGTAGGTAATTATATTCTCAGACATAAATTTGTGGTCATATTCAACCATATTTTTTGTTTTTCTGGAGTCGCATTCGTACTTTGACAACACAGAAGTTTAGATGTAGGCTTCTTTGTTTGCAGAGTTGCTCTGCTGGGCCTGGTCTGGCCCGTTTTCAGGATGAGTGATGTCTTCGCTTGGCTGAATCATTACTTGGATGCGCTGTTTAAAGAACAACAATAAAGGCGAGGCAGTCAAAAAACTGTTTCTAAGCTTATATATTTTTTTTTTCCAAAGGCAATCCTAAACACTTCTGTCTAGGTATTGGAGCCAAAATGAAAAATTCTTTCTCCTAAGGGCCCAAAAAGGCAGTAAGTCACAAATACTAACGCCGGTTTTGGCTGTGTTCTGAAGATGACAGTAGGAGTTGAAAGGCCACCTGCAAAATGGTAGATGCCACCAGGCATTAACAACTGAGCGTGCCTAGGGAAAAGAAACGGGGTAGTGCGGCGTGGGGCGGGTGAGGACAGACTGGGCGGCCAGCCCAGCCCACAGGCCCAGCACAGAGGCTGCAAGTTCGTCGCAGACAGCCGGGACTCAGATGTGATGGTGACCCTCCCCAGGGAGCGGAAGGGACTAGAGAGTATTGGCTACAGCTTCTGGGAGTTTCTACGTCCAAGGATACAACAGGTGAAGTAGACTGGTATTTAAGATCTTTTTATTTCCATTCTGTCTTTTTTAGTCCTTTTGTGTTCTCCACTCATGAAGCTTATCTGCCTAGCTCATTCCTATTGGGAAAGTGAGCCCAGTTTTCATCATCAAAGCCTGTGAGCGGGGCAAGCTCCTCCTGTCATCTGATGATCGTTTGTCAATGCTTTCAAAAATGAGACCCTAATCCACAGCAAGGCTGAGATGAGGAACTTTTCCTGGGCTCTTGTAGAACTCTACCCAAGAAGCAGCCACATTTCATAGCACCAATTCCCCATTTGCACACCAATGTTTCCATAAGACCAAGGGAAAGATACTCAAAAATGTGCAGCTAAGCAGCAGCAGGGGAAACAAACCCCCAAAAACAAAACAGAAATTTTTTTGTAAACTTCTCTGAAGCATCACTGAGTCTCTTAAAATTTGCTGAAGATGAATATTTGGATCAAGAGCTGAGCAATTCATGAGGCATTACTCGTCAATTCGGCTTAAGGTCATCTGTCCCTTTGCAAAGATGGCTCTGTCAGCTGATTTTAGAATATTCCAGAAATTCTGACAAATTCATTGTGACAATCTTTCATTCCCACAGCATAGAGGGCACAGATATACATTTCAATAGTCATGCTGAAGAAGTGCCTGTTATGCACAGAATAAGACTATTGGCTGGAGAGGGAAAGGTGAGGCTGCACCCCAATTTAAAAAAAAAAAAAAAAAGAAGTATGGCAATTGTACTTAATTACTAAACAGCGTACTGGTCAATAACCTTATCAACATTTCACACTCCTTCAGCAGCATTTCTCTAGGGACCTTAAAACGGATTTAAGCCATGCCGTGCCTCTCTCACATGGGAAGCATCACCTCCTCCGAGCAGATGGAATAAGGCAGATGCTAAGAGCACTGGGTAATGAGAAAAAGGCCTCTAATGTTCTTCATGAAGTAACTGTTCATCCAAATCCCTTAAATATAGACTAAAGGGAAGCGCAGCATAATCATAAAATACGCTCCCAAGACTTTACGTGTGCTTTCTCTTGGCTGCAGCAGAACAAGGCGGCCGCTGGAACTTAGGACGGGTGTAATGCAGAACAGGAGCTCACATCTTTGATCACGTTGCAGGGAGATGCTAAATAGGGTCAGTGTGAGCACTCACAGAAACCAAGAGTTAGGTGGGTTTAGTCCTACGAGTTTGATTCCAGTTCCTTAGAGCATCACCTACCTTGATACATGACAGTATGTCTTGCGTTAATAAGGACAAATTGACATATTTTGTAAACTGTTGCTTTGTCTTCTGGGTCTAAGGAGCTGGAATGCAAAGTGTCTGGAACTGTCAAAGCCCAGAGATAAGGACCGCATTTAATGCGGTGAATTATGTTTAACAGTAGATGGTACAGACACTGTCTTGTCTTTCATCTGTTTGGTACTTGTTTTTATGTTGTTCACCTTGATGCAAAAATAACTGGGCTAAGCAAGTGAGGCCACAGGAAATATACAGTAGGAAATAGTTGCCCAGCAGTCTTTTATCAGTGTGCGCAGGTCTTGCAAGGCAAAATCACGCAGTCAGAAAATAGAGAGACTTACCTGTTTTAAGGAGCCTTTCAGGGTTAGGAACATATACGCCATATAGCCTGGTATCAGCACCATAGAAGACAAAGCCATGAACCAGCCAACCCCTTGGCCCCATTTTGGGAAAACGTAACTTCCCATCGTGAGAGGAGTCATTTGGACAGCACTGAAGATAAATACTCCCTGCAAAACACAGCAGAAAAGAAGATTTGGATGAGATTTCTGGAGAGTTCTGTGTTCAAGAGCTTTTCTGGATCGACTTGGACCTCAAGCCTGCCTTTACATCCCGGCAAGAAGAAAAGGGTTCCTTTGGTCCCTGGGGATGGCTGCTGGGCCCTGGCTTGTAGACGGGGCCACCAGGTCAGTCTGCCAGATGGAGGTTGCGGAGAAGAGGCAAATGACAGCCCACCGCACTGACCGATCCCCTGCTACCTTACGCTCGAGCGCGGGAATGCGAAAATAACTGAACTGTAATTCTGAAATTGTGAAGTTGTTTTGTTTGTCTCTATTGATGTTCTTATTGGAGTAACAGTATCGGTACAGCTGTACTGCACTGATCAGCAACAGACTCCAGGGGCTCTGAACTGACCTCTCTAACATCACCACCTAAGGGTGCTCGGCCCAGATCTTCTGAACAAATGCATCATGGAAAATGAGGGCAGTCAGAATGGAACCGGCAGTTCAGGAAGTGGCTGCAGAGTTGTCTGTATAACAGAACTTATCTTACAAAATTCAAAAACCACTCTGAATTTTGCAATAAGAAGAGATGAAGAGATAGTATCCCAAGAAGCTTCTCACCAAAATTAATCTTAATGTTTCAGGTAAATGCTATATTTTCACATACATGACCCGCATCTCAGACTATCTGGGTATGCTGGTATGGGGAATCCACGGGTAATAGCAGAGTCCTCAGATAACCTGTGCACAATCAGAGGGAAGGGGGCTACTGGGAAAGAAGGGGGTCCTGGGGAATAACACATGCATGCACATCTGTACTGTACTGTACTGTTGGTCAGCAGCATTTGTGAGTCGCTTTTGTGTTGTTTTCAAACAGATGACCTGCAAACATGGTATTTTTTCCTTTAAGTTCCCAAGGAAGACTCCTATCCTGGCCTAGAACTGCCTGCATCAGGAGGGAAACCTGCTACACTGATGTCACTGTGTAACTGAACCAGCAAAGGAGGGAGCTCATTCTGATCCCAGGTTCAGGCCCTGTGCAGAACACCTTCCCCAAGAGGGGATCGCAGAGAGGCAGATTTTATTAGAACATCATCACCACTTGTGAACTTGCACTGGACAACAAATTCTGTTGAAGACATTACAAGTCAAGACAAATCTGGGAAGTTCTACATACAATGGTAGTCATCTTCCTACTATACCACTAAAATAAGCAAAGTGCATTTTTTATGCCTTCCTGAACACTCATTTTCAGAAAAACGAAAGCCGCCTTCATCTGGGTAGAGATAAAACAAGGAACCCTCAATATAAACACATTTCTGTGCCTCCCTCTAGGGCTCTTTCTTTGCTTTTCTGTGGCTGCCTATGTGGGAATATCAGAGAAATATCTGGGTATGAAGTATTGTGTCAAGTGTCATAGTGTCTACTTCATTACAGTTTTTTATATTGCGTCTGGGCTGACCACATTATGTTAGTAAATTTACATTTCTTTGCTTATTATTTCAAAATGTACTATACGGGCTTCACTGGGTAAAGCTTAGAATTAGGAGAAGACTGTACTGTGGTTTCCAGTGCACAAATCCTTGCAAGGTTTGCCAGCACAAGCGCTGGCAATGTAGCATAAGCTAGGTAATATATTCCCCAGAATCCCATGAGGGCAGACCATCAGTTTCTAATGCTGGTCTGTTACCAGAGTAGCGCCTGGGAAGGAATTCAGTTCACAAATGTGGGCATGTTTCTGTATAGGGAAAATGGAGACTCTAGAGAGATTGCTAGATTTTATGGAAAAATACAAGAACTGGTCAAGATTTGTTTCTTACAGTTTTCTATCTCTGCCAGTCACACTCTTGGCTAGTTACCATTTCCAGAGGACTAACACAAATCTTCAAATTGCACAGGGCTTCTTTTCTTAGGACACAGGCTTCCTCTAATGACACTGGGGTTTGACTATTGCCTTCAATGGAACTGCTCAAATCCTTAAAAAAGGAATGAGGTCAGAGTTAATGTGACCCTGTGGGGGTGGAAATGACAGCGCTGTAGTACATAGGCCACCTCGTTTACATCTTTTGAATCATATAATAAAAGTTTGTTCCTTACTGCCACAATGATAGGAGTGAAAAATGACCAGCAGAGTTTCCACCAGATGCAGGGTCTGTATCCCACCATCTCTTGGATGTTGTCATAAAATCTATTAACACCTAAATATAGAAATAAGAAACAGTACAGAAACATATCAGACAATTGATTCAATTGAAAGCTCAGTGGTTTTGAGAGACATTGTCATAAATGATGAGGTATATACTCCAACACAACTTTTCATGTATCTGAATGGGAAAGAAATGTGAAAACTCAGAAGCACCAAGAATCGTTTGTTCTCATTCTTCCACATCACAATTAATTAATTAGCAACCAGCAAACTTCTTCCCATGCAAAGGCTGAGGAAGTCTGTACATCTGAAGGTCAGATGCAATACATTGCCCTTGGTTAATTTCAACTCTAAGTCGTATTAGAATGAGAGCTTTAGAATGATATTTTACAAATTAAATTTAAAAATAATACTAATCCATCCTAGTGTTAACCAGCTTCATGCTGTGTGGATATTGCACACCATACACATGCAGAACTGCATACAAAATGGAAGAGCAGCCCTTCTGCTGCTGCCGTTACCTACCAGCACTCCGACACCTTCCAAAAGGTGTGGCTATCATATTCTTTATAACTTTGATTTCTCACTATTTAGCTGGCGTATGTTTCCATTCGCATTTGCTGGATTCACATGCAGTATCTCCCCCCTATAAAATGCTGTTCCATCCTCTTAAGCCCGTTAAAAGACAGCAGAAAGACTCCAGTGATCTAGCTCTGAATCAGTTTTGTAATGTAAGCTGAAGCACCTTCGTAATCGTGGGAGTAGCTCCTTGGACTAGCTAACACAGAACTAGAGTCAAATGCACAAATACTCTTGCAAGAATATGGTACATATTCGTTAATCTGTATACCCAGAGCTTGTTAGTCCAGACTTCTGGCTATTTTAGGGCAATTATGCAAGATACAACTGACCAAGGAGCCTGGCTCTCACTGCAAGATCCTGGAGTGACAGAGTCATTTCTGGAAATTAAACATTATGAAGTCCAAAAGACCTAAGTCATTATGTTGAGAACAGCAGTACCTAACTCCTCTGAATATCCAGGCTTTCCAAGGAGGAGGGAATGGGAAAAAAAGATGGACATGTCACCTATTTAGGATTCCTGAAACATTCAGCATCTAATGACTTCCAGGTTTATACACAGGGTGTTTTAGAGAAGCAGGAGTACTTTCCACAGGCCAGCTTTGAGTCCTCAGTGGCATTACATGCCTTATAAAACAAGGCCAGTTTCAGTTCTATCCTCAGCATGTGCACACACAAAAGAACAAATCAGTAGATGAAGTACCCTTATGATGTGCAAAACTTATTGGAAAAAAACCCCATATTGTTTACCATAGCACCAGGATATTGAGATGCACTCAAAGAATACGAGGAACAGGAGACTCATTCCGCTGGCAGAGTAGTAGTCAAAAAGCTTAAACACATAGATTCCACCCTAAAACATGTAAGAAGGAAGTGTTAAAATAAATGGTAAGGACTCCAGTTTCAAGACAGATTAAAATACAAACTACAAACTAACAGTGGTAAATAGGTTATGGTCATATTCATGTAAATTAATTACAGTTAACAGGTTAAAGTCTTACAATGCTTGAGGTCAATACTGACAAAAATTAGATTACTGCTAGAATTCAATTAAACTGGCTTGGTTTCACTTTACTCCTTTTTGTTCAATAATTCAATCATTTCCCTGCAAGCATTTCCAAGCTAGTAGATCACGGGGAGCAACGGAGAACGTCCCTAGCTGCCACCTGTTGGACTGTAGGACAGACTGCAGAGATGCGTATTTTCTTGTCACCTGAACCATGAAGTAGACCTCGCCGCATCCACGGGCTACAGGCATTTCACACTTACACGTTAATGTCTGCTGCCTGAAGTCTTTAGTGTTGATAATGGATCCCTGCCACGTCAATGGTTTGCAATGATTCCTGGTCGGGGCCAGGGGGAGGGGGAAATGAAAGAGATGCTGTATGTCAGACATGAGATCACGTTGTTCTACAGAACTTACCTGAGTAATATTGGAAAGCCCTATCAGATAGGAGACAATGCATACAACGGCAATGAAGATTTCTCTTCGATTGCGCAGCAACTTCGGAAATTCATCCACCAAAGCTGTTATGAATCCTTCCACGGTGCAGAACTGCAAGTAAAGTTAGAAATAAAATACAATAGAATGCATTACAACAGCAGGATTACATTTAGGGGAGGAGCTTTCAGTACTACTCATCACTGGCCTAAGGCTGCATCCATTAAATGATAAATGAAAATTCACTTGACTGCAGTGGAAGCAGTGCTTCTGAATATCCTCGTTTCTGCCTAAAAAGATTTGTGCAAAAACATTTCCAGCTAGAAAAACACTCAAAATTCCAAGTTGTGAACTATAGCATGTTCTTTATGAAGATGAAGGGCTCCTTCTTGTGATAGAAGACAATACACTTACATTTGAGGGCTTTGACCCCCAGCTCCTTCAAACACTTGCACTTCTTTCTGTGATTTACTTACATACATGAAAGCCAACAGAGTCAATGCAGCGGTCAGCTTTTTGCTCAGGGTGTGGTCTTCTGAATGGAAAGCATGGCCACACCTCAGATTTTTACTGTTTGTATATATTCAAAACAAATGCTGTCATTATGATGGCTGAAATGATGAAAAGTAGAAGGTATGCAAATTTTTATTACTTTCCAGCAGTGCAATCAGAATTTAACCAACAGTTCCAGTTCCTATAAATTACAGCATATGAAATGTGTCACTGACAGACAGAAAATGAAGAAAGCCTGACAGACGGTAGATACATATTGTTTTAAATAATACTAGACTACCTTCCTCAGCTGCTAGTTGCCTAGAGACAAGTTCTTTCAAGAATATTTTGGACCCAATTAATTTCACAGTAGTTTCCCCCCAGATTGAGCAATGGGTTTTAATGTCAAGCCTGAAGCTTACTGACAAACAAAGAAATAGAAAACATACATTTTCAGCTTCCATTCACGTTGCAGGATAAAATGCCCTCGTGGGCTTTTTGTATTTTGGTTCACAGGCTGAAGTCAACTTGGATTATCGAAAATAATAGATTTTCTCTACTGAAAGACTAGTACAGTACTAAGCTAGTAATGCTCATAATTCTTTATGTGCTATGAAGAGTGTGCTAATGACTCTCAGGTGCTGGTTTGACCACTTCAGCTGATTGCAATTAGATTAACACACCTGCCTATGACTGGTCACGTGCAAATGACCAAATATTGCAGCAGGAAGAGGGGACTGCCCTGACAAAGTCCTCAAAGAATGCTTTGCAAGATAAGACAGGGTGCTCTCTTTAGTGCTTACTGCTATCTGTATTAAAATTATTACTGATTAGTGAATGCTTTTGTTGGACATCGTCCTTTCTAGCAGGTAAAGTGCTTTTTCTTGTTCTGTGTGCTTTCTTGTTTGTTTCCCAATAAAGGTTTTTTAATAACTGCATTAATTATTTTATTATTTAATTATTTAATCTAGTCAGTAACTCTGGAGCATATCTTACTTGGATTTGCAAAACCTCTAGGTTGTGCCTTCCCATTAATTTCCAGTTGCCAAATACCATCTGTAACTCTTAGCTAAGGTCTGAACCAATAAAGTCTTGATCCTTACCATTGGGAAGTGATTTCGGAACACACTGTGACACAGAATGTCCTCAGTAACGAGCCTCCTGCCTCCTACATTTGCTCCTGACATTCATATGCTTAAAATGAAATGTTTGCTGCATCTTTTTGCTCCATGTGGTAAGTTCTGAAGTCGTCTTTCAGAAATATTTGTGGCATTTAAACGGTGTAAAGCATATCCCAGTGTCTCCTACATTGATGAACACCGCAAAGGTATTTTTAGTGTTGTGACTGAACACTTAAGTTTTCCAAGAAAGTTCCTTTTGTCTGCAGAATAAATTTTCTGCACGTTTCGTATGTGCTTCCAACAGGTCATGAAAAAGCAAGTGTCTTAGTATCAGTATCCTTGAACCTCTTACTCTGTCCTCTCCTTAGTACCTTCTATTATTTATCCGGTTATTCCAGAAACCACTCCGCACCACTAACAGCTGGCAGTACAGAACACACAGAGAAGCCAACCTTGTACCATGCAGTTGCAGAAAATCTGTCTTCATTATTAATTTTTACACCAGTTTTACCTGACTGTCAATTCCGAGCATAAGCAACATGGAGAAGAACAGTATTGCCCACAAAGGAGAAATTGGTAACTGTGTCACTGCTTCTGGGTAAGCCAGAAATGCCAGTCCAGGGCCTGATAGGAAGAAACAGGAGAGAAAATGTCAATGGGATCAATTGGGTGTTGTGATTATTTGCTCCTGTTGATGCATAGGTTATAGGTTTATTTGAATGACTCAGGGCGGGATGCAGCATCTGACCAAGGATTGCAGCTGTGTCAGTATTCACTGACCAAAAAAACAGTGCACAAATCTTGCTTTTAAAATGAACCAACCTAAACAAACAAAAGAACCCCAAACAACCCCCCCCCCCCAAACAAACCAAGTGAAATCCTAGATGTGGTTCAGAAGCTGCTCCTGGGAGACACCTTTGTCTAGAAAAGACAGGGAATGCTATCCTTGGCTAGGGTTACATCTTCAGGTACCGATTGGCTTTCTCTCCCTCTCAAGCAGTTACCGATAGCTGTAATCTTCTGCTTTGCACCAAGTAGTTCAGAAGAGAAACAAAAGACAGCTCAGAAATGGAGAAGATGCTTTCCATCATTTACAGTATTCCCTTTGCTATTTTATTCCATTGATTATCTTAAAATAGACATTTTAATAACTGATGTAGTTGCAAACAGGCAAACCTCTTCATTTGTGTTCCTGCTAACTGCTGATGGGGGCATAGCGTTGGAAGGGGAATATGAATCTTTCTGAGAACAGGAGGAGCTCATTCTGCTGTCATAGCACAGCTGGAAACCAGCTGATGTCAGCTTAAGAGGGAAACACGCAGCAAACGAAATAATCACAGAAATAAAATTAGTGTGCCTCACCTAACAGGGGTTTCTGGTTTCGCAGTTTTCATTCAAAGCATGCCTGTCTGTGACAACTGCTGGGCCATGAATAGCTTTCAGGCCAGTGAAGCAAACATTGGCATCACACACCCGAATTGTCAAAGTAAATGCAATGTAGGTTTTGAAACAAGATTTGCCAGCAATAGCAGATCTGATTGGAACGCCTTCCAAATGGCAGCAGTAAAAGCAAAATAAACTTAAGATAAATATGTTCTTAATTTTACTCTGTTACACATTCCACCAAAATGCAGCTACAGCTTTTAATAGCATTGTTTTACAAAGCCGTATAAAAGATTGCGAACCAATATGTCTCATGGTGCTAAAATAAAGCATCAGTTTCTGAGCTTGCTAGGGGAAACAGAAGCCTTAATTAAAAGGTCACATTTCCAAATACCCTTTGCAATTACTGGCCACAGGAGGTCATGCGCATCTTTGAAAACTCTGTTATCTTAGGGACCTTAAAATGTATTTAGGAGCTTAATACGATGTAAAAAAATTGTTTTGTTTGCAGGTGTAGTCTTTATATAGTTACATCTGTATCAAAAACATAAATCCAAGAAGCTTATTTCACACACCACTGACTTTCCAGAGCATTTTTTGACAAGTGTATTACATCATAATTTTTTTCTAATTTCTTTGTGTAGTTTACTGAAGATTATTTTTAGGGCTTAAATGCTCTGCTTTCCTAACTAAGGGAATATTTCATCAATGGGATGTGTTTGCTAGTATAACAACACATATTTTGTTCACCAGTGACTTCCAACCAAGCTTTCGGTGATCAGATCCCTCCCTGTGGCCAGAACTGCTAAATGAGTATCTGGTACACCAGCTGGGGCAGGGCAACCATCTGCTCGGCTGCTTTAAGCTTTTTCATCTGGAAGACAGACGAGGAATCGCAAAAAATAGCAGAATCCTTCCATGGACATACAGAATCACAGAATGGTAGGGGTTGGAAGGGATGTCTGTGGGTCATCTAGTCCAACCCTCCTGCCGAAGCAGGGTCACCTACAGTAGGTTGTAGAGGACCTTGTCCAGGCAGGTCTTGAATATCTCCAGAGAAGGAGGATTCACCACCTCCCAGCGCAGCCTGGGCCAGGGCTCCTTCACCCTCAGAGGGAAGAAGTTCTTCCTCATGTTCAGCTGGAGCTTCCTGTGCTTCAGTTTGTGCCCGTTGCCCCTTGTCCTGTTGCTGGGCACCACTGAAAAGAGCTTGGCCCCGTCCTCCTGACACCCACCCTGCAGATATTTGTAAGCATTTATTAGGTCCCCTCGCAGCCTTCTCTTCTTCAGGCTGAACAAGCCCAGCTCCCTCAGCCTCTCCTCATAGGAGAGATGCTCCAGTCCCCTCACCATCCTTGTAGCCCTAATCTTACTGCCCCAAGTAGAATGGCTTTCATAATAAAGGGTCCCGTCAAATTGGCTGGTAGCTGTAGACCTGAACAGGTGAGGAATGGATTTGCGTCAAAGGACTTAACTTCAACAAACAAACAGTAAAAGGAATTAAAAAAACCTAACTGAATTTGAGAATATAGGCTCCAAAAACATAGTGACCATCGTTCCTCCTTTCAGTTTGGTTTCACGAATTTCAGTAGCAAGAGACTCATAATCTGATGTCACAGCTAAGCACTGAAGCAGCAAACTGTGCCGCCATCTCTAGTAAACGCACTCCTTGTAAGCAGCATTCGTTAGTATTCATTACGTCGGCCCACGCCGCGTCTCTGGCTGCCCACTCTCCACATCAAAGGTCCGAGAGCACCAGGCAGGCAGGCAGTCTACTCGATGTGAAATGATTTCGCTAGTGCTGCCTTGAGAGGTCTGAAACACCGCTCTCCCTTTTGTGATCAGTCAGGGCGACTGAAATGAGGAATGTTTGGAGGGAGGGATTTGGAACAATTACAAGAAGCAGTTGGATACAACGTACAAACAAAAAATAACTGGTGCCGCCAAATAGCTTAAAGAAAAATATATTGGATACCTGATGCTGCAACATCTGCAATAGGCCTCTTAGTGACATTAGCCATGAATCCAACAATGGAGAAGATGACAAAGCCAGCAAACATGCTTGTGCATGAGTTTATGCAGCACACGATGATGGAGTCCCTGAAATAAAGGTAAGGCACTTTAAGCAGTAGGCAAAGTAAAGCTGCTGGTCATCAGTATGTTACCCTTTTTTCCTGTGAGAAGATTTCCTGATTTAGGATTTCACAGTCTGGGTTCCATTTCATGCTGGACAAGTCATACTGTTTCTCCCATTAGTGAATGCAGTTATACATCACATTCCTGCTTAGATGTAACATTTAACATTCAGCTTCGGGACTACACTATATTTCAACGGTATTATACACAGAAAGACAGAATCCAGCTCCAGCTGAGACAGGAAAGTGCCACTGTAATACGTGCAGGCATCTGCTTACCTGTAAACATTATTGTGGAAAGGGTTGTAACTTCCAAGGGCAATCAGTGAACCAAGACCCAAACCATAGGAGAAGAAAATCTGTGTGGCAGCATCGAGCCAAACCTGATTGCAGGAAATAATTTTTTTTAAAATCTGTTTCTGCACTTGAGGAGCAGGTCATATGTCTGAAAGGTGAACAGTTAGCAGTGAAACTTTTGTTTACAGGGATTGAATATTTACCTCAGAGTCTGAAAGCTTACTGAAGTTGGGAGTTATATAGAATAAAATGCCTTCCTTGGCTCCAGGCAGTGTTACACCACGGAAGAACAAGATAAGCAGCATAACATAGGGGTAAGTAGCAGAGAAATATACCACCTGATGTGAAGAAACAAGACATTGTAAGTGTGGAAGGAAGAACGATCTGTGCTTGTTAACACTTCAAAATATTTGCTCCCTAAAAACACCATAGCAGCAATGGAAGCTGATTTAAAATTGAAGCATTTATCAATGGAAAAGCTTGGTGAGGCCAGGGGAGTGCCTACTGCAGAGCTCCCTAAACACCACGCCTACAAGGCAGGCAGCTGCTGCAGACTTCCCCGACGATGGAATTTAGTGGACTAAGATGGTTTTTGCACGAGGGGCTCATGCTTTTCTTTTTTTGTATTCCACAAGGGGGGCTCCCTAAAGCACGAGGTTCTAGTACTCGTATCCTGCTTGTAGAACAACATCTGTTAGATGAGTATTCTGCTCTCGGACAGCTGTTTTGTATTTTTAACACTCTCTCCTCACCCACATTATGATATAATTGCCCTACAGGATCCTACTCTCTTGCCTTTTCAAAAGCCCTATAAAAAAGGCACTATGAAGTCCAAAGAAACAGTCAGCCCTTTTGTGCCACCATCTTTGCAGGCAGGAGAAACGAAACGGTTTGGGCTGAGCTCAACTAGGCCATGTTCAACATGCAGAAGTGGGTCACAGTTACAACTACCTTGTCAAAAGTTAACAGTTTCTTCTTTCAGTGTGAAAAAATCCTAGTCCTCTACACCAGGCCTGAGGTCTTACAACCCAAGCCTTCAGCTGCCACCAGGCCTCACGGCCGTGATTTTTCATATCCCTAAGGTTTCTTCCTGCCATTCTGGGGAGAGGGAGAGGTATGTCCCAATGTCAGATGCTGTTGCCCTTTCCTTCCTGGAGAAAGGTCTGTCAATAATATAATTTCCTTTAATTCATTAGTAAATTCTATTTTGCACTCAGAAACCAGCCAGACTCCAAGAAGCACAGCATGCAAGCATGTCCGTGGTAAGAGCCACCTACGGCTCTCACTCAGCGCACGGATAGGAGGGAACAACTCGTACACGCAATACAGCTTCAACGCTTACTTAGATATCTAAGCCCAGCAAGAGCTGTGCAATAAATGCATGCTTCTCTCTGAAGCCAAGCCACTGCATCCTCACCCTTCTGCTATCCCAACTGGTGAGAATATTCATCCCAGCAACAAGCAGGCACATTTTTAGGAAATTTTATACCTGGCAAAGCTAAGAAGTCTATAAATGAACGTACTGTCCAAGAGTGTGGCCAGAGCTAGCTACAGAGGAGCCAGCTCGTTCAAAAACACAGTGCTGTATCAATTCAAGATAGATAAAAATGAAATACTTCACAGAGCTATTCTAGCAAAACTATCCCCAGTGCCTCTTACCTCAATAATTTTCAGAATATATGAGTAAAATGGTCATTTTTAATTGGAATGTATTTACAGCACTTTTTAATCTTACCTTTCCGGTCCAGCCTACCCCCTTCCAGATACAAAAATACACCAGAATCCAGGCAATTGCTAGAGTAATTGCTAGCGGCCATCGGATTTGCCCTGGCTTTTCCAATCCATCCGTCATTTGGTGCATGTTGCGTCTAGAATAAGCCAACAGAATGGTGTATTTGACAACTAGTTCAGAAGACAGTACATGAATGATAACAAGCTGATCCTTGCATAGGCACAGGAATCATACAGAGAAAAATTATCAGCTTACTCCCAGAATTCGACCACGGCACTTGTCATGTTGGTGGTGTTTGCTAAGGTATAATTGGAGAAGCAGCGGTCAGTGTTCCATGGGTTCTCACAGTGTTTCCAAGGAAGAGTCTATTTCAGAAAGAGAAAGAGAAAAACCTAGAGAGTCGAACACTTCTTAAGTGAGCACTACCTCAGGCATCTCCCTCTTTACTAGAAACGACAGTTGAGTGGAAAGCTAATATACTTCGAGTTCTGCAGCGCACCGATCTCCCTGGGGTGCACGTCCGCCACGTGAGTTATTTAACTTCATATCAATTGTGTGAATCAGATGTGAAAGTATTTCTTCCTTTCTTTAATATATCAGCCCAAATGCTCTGGAGCCTGACACCTCTCAGCATGCGAGAATATACTGAGTGCACTACAAGAAACAAGGGCAGCAGAAAGGACCTCCTGGAGGTCCTGTTACCTCTTGTTGCACTAGAGGTAATAAAGGAGTGAGGGTTATTGATTAGAGATTTCCATTTTCCCCTCACGTCAGGGGACAGTTAGAAAATTGTAAACTTTCTGTTTTTCTACATGCATTTTCTACATGCGTCCATTACATTAAGTTATCTTTCAGGAGTTCTGAGAAGCAGAACCTTTTTCCACATGATATCCATTAGAATAAACCTCATTTAGATACAACTTAGATATTCTTCTGATGGGCAGTCTTGGAAAAACCCTCTCACAGAACATGTTGTAGTGGGGTACTGCATGCTTTAAATACAAGGATAAGAGGCTTCAAGGCAATTAGAAGTCAATATTCATCTGATATGGGCCAGCACACCACTTCCAGACTATGACTGACCTTTCAAAGCAATAACAAATCTGAGGATAACAAAAAAAGGAAACGATCGTGTCGCTCCCAGGCAGTAATTAATGCAAATTTGGTCAAGGGACAATTCTTGAAAGCTGAGAACAAGCAAGCACGAACAAAATTTGTAGAAAAGACAACAATTGAACAATAATGCACTAATTATTGAGACTTATGTAAGACTGCTTCCTCAGATGGCCAAAACCCACAAATCAGGCAAGACCTACTCAGCTGATGAATCATCCTTGAGGGAAAAAAAAAGGCAGCTAAAAATAAAGTTAAGAGGGAAGAAAACAAAGCAAAAATAACAACAATCAGTGGAAGTTCGGGGATTGGGCTAGATGACCTCTAAGGGCCCCTTCCAACCCAAAGCATTCTACGATTCTAAGCTCAGAGCTAATCAAATCACAGACTCTCTGTTCCACTGCGACTTTTTAAATAAGCCCCTCCACTATTAAAACACATTGCAATGATACTGTTTCCCAGAGAACTAACACTTTTGTGGCTGCTCTTAAAGAAAAAAGAATAATCAGTTATACACCAGAATTCTTCTCATGGGAACGAGTGGACCGAAGGCTCCGAAGGGGTACTTGCACTCTTGTCAGCATGCCCAGGACAAGGAGATCAAAGTCTGAGCACGGCTTGCGGCTGCTTGGTAGGTGAGCAGAGCAGCAAGCAGGCATGCTTGCAACTAAAGAGCAGAGACTAAGTGAAACTAAAAGGGCACAGTTGAAAGAGCTGTGGTTCTGAAGATTAAGATGAGGAAATTTAAACAATTCGGTAAGAAAGAGAAGTCTGTGGCTCCAAAATAACCTATAATTATGTTTCTCCACTGACACTCTTGGAAAGGAATATTTTCCTCACAGTTTTCTATTCTACGTTTCTTGTGGAGAAAAAAAAATTACAAAGGGATTTTTACAAAGTAGTTCTCTCCTTTAGTAAGAAATGGTTTATCCTACTGATTTCTATGCATTTTGTGTTCACCTCACACCTTTACAGTGAGACAGATTAATCAGCTCTCTACATGTAACTCTGCTTTACATTCAACAAACAATTCCAACCCCCCCTCCGCCACACACACTTACAGTGGTAAAGGAATTATACAGGTAGTATATGGCCCATGAAATAATCACAATGTAGTAAATATTTAGCCAAAAGGAAAGGACTGCAGCAGCTAGTCCCACACCTGCAAAGAAAACAAAAAGATACAAAAGAAGGTAACTTCTAGTGACATCTGTACAAGTGTTGGCTGAAGAGCTGCAGTTCAGAAGGACAAACAGAACATATCGGGCAGATACCATTTACCAAATTTTATAGAAGCTGAGTTAAAATTTTAGAAGTACCATTACAAAAAGGCGATTAATTTGGCTGATAGGTCAGTCACCCATAAATTTCATCTTAGTGTCCGGTTCTGTATGTGCTGCAGTAAAGAGTTGCATCTGCTGTTGCTGAGATCTTACAGGCATTTTTTATTTCCGGGGAAAAGAGCTAGATCAGCTCATTCTCTGAAACAGCACTCCCTCAGAAACTTCTTGTAGATGCTTGCAAACTGAGTTAACAGACCAGCCAGCCATTTCGTACAGTGATCAAAGTGCTTGATGCTTAGTATAATGCTATTATGTCATCCCACACTAAAGAAATGTCAGGCGTTCCACAACAAGAAAGCCTTGTCTTCTACTCCACATGGAGACTTCTGGGGTATTTTAAAATATTCAGGCTGGTGACAGTTGCCACATGACACTAAACAGGAGGAAGTGCTCAAAATCATCAGAATAGTGCCAAGCGAGGACTATGCTTCACACTGCGCCCCTATCAACAGCCATAACTCCAGGAAACTTAAAATACTTACCTGGGAGAAACATTTTAATCTCTCTGGACTTTCCCACTACAAAATTTCCTAGAACAAAATCCATTCTAAACAAAATTGTAGCTCACCCTATGCTAACTGTCAGTCCTACTCTGTGAAGTAATTTATAAATCAATGAGTAACTTGCTTCTCAACTGGTCCAGAAGCCAGCTCAGGAGCATTTAAGCGTCAAAGAATTTGGGATTAGAGGGTGAAAAGCAGTTTGTGAGGTCTGTATGTCTATGCAGAATCTAGATTGAAACCTCGAGGTTCTAGCAATGAGCAACCTCAAGCTAGCTAAAAATCTAAGTATGGAGTGAGCTTGTCTTAAGCAATTCAGCATGAAATTGCCATCTTTGAACTGTCTGGCTTTTGAATTTCAATAAAGAACACCAGGAGATACAAACCTCTGTGACCTCAAACAGAAACAACGTTTACCAAATTGCCATGAACAGAATTCCATACCTGCTCAGGCAGCTATTGCTATATTTAATATGCTATTCTGAACAGGTTTTGTATGTTTCTTCCTAAAAAAAAAATAAAAATGTTTTAAGTTCAAAAATAAGTCTGTTGAGATTCTAATGCCTAACTCTTTTTATTTTTAATGGGGAACGAACAATATTCTAGCGTGTTCCAACTGTCAGTTACGCCTCAGAAAATCAGGGTTTCCTGTAAAAAATGATGGTTTAAGTAAAAATACGAAGGCACAAAAAAACCTCCTTTCCCTGACACTTTGTGCAACTTCTGCAACTTGGAAACAAGTAGAAAGTAATCCAAATTCACACTGTACCTTTGAACATTGGAGCAAGCTTCCACACTCCAAGGCCTCCTATAGATGTATACTGACCAAGGGAACACTCCAAAAGAAACAGTGGCACTCCAGCAAAAATCAAAGTAAGGAAATAGGGAATCAGGAATGCACCTAAAAAGAAGTAAGAAAAAGTCCGTTATGGTGGGGAAAAACACAACTGAGTTTCCACTGTTTCCATCCCTATTATAGATTAAAAGAAACTCACATTTTTTTTCTCTTAAGCGTAACTTTTCAAAAATGTTTGTGGAAGGCACACGTACATTTCTGAACCAGTATCTCAAGAGGTGAAAATCAGGGGAAAAATGTATCTCCTCATCATTGAAATATTTTCTGTTTAAGTAAAAGCTAAAATCCGAAAGACTGTGTATTTTGTTGCCTTCAGCTATCACAGGAGTGTGCGGATAGCACAAAGGCCTTAACCAGAACCGGCTGCTTTTCAGCTGAAGTTAGCCTTTTATGGTAAGCTGAGCGTCAGTATTAGAAGCTGTATGCAATCCCCTCAAAAACTCAATCCAAAAGACAGGGCTTTGAAGCGTTGGAGGGCAACGTGCTTTTGTTCTGCTCTAATGCCTGATGGTCTTTTGAGAGCACCTGCCAACTAGAAGCTAGAATAAATTCCAGAGCAGACCTCAAAGCAGAGCACCACACTCCAACATGGCTCCAACCCCCCTGGACAAGTGTAAAGCAAACAAACAAACAAACAAAAAACAACAAAAAAACCCCCAAACCCCGAACGTACCTCCGCCATTCTTCCCACAAAGGTATGGAAATCGCCACACATTCCCTAAGCCAATGGCATAACCTACACAGGACATAAGAAAGTCAAATTTTCCTTTCCAAGTATCTCGGTCCGGAAGATCCGCCTTCTTCTTCTGCACTTTTACTACCAAGGTTTTAGGCTTGTCGTTGGCGATGGAAGCATCGACCTCCGTGGAGATCTGTCCGTCGGCCACCTTGGTCCCGTTGGTTGCCATGTCTCTGGGTTTGGCGGGCGAGGCTCTGGCAGCGGCCGGGCGGGAGAGTTCAGCACCAGTCCACGTGGACAGCAGCTTTGCGGCTCGCGCTCACCCCAGCGGGCAGCGACG